GCATCCATCCATCAGTCAGTTTGCCTAGTCTGTCTGCACCTGTCCTTGGGGCCCGTCTCAGACGGGTTGCCGCATTATGTGAGGATACCGGGTTGCCCCGCGCTATGTGAGGTATATACCGGGTTGCCCCGCGCTATATGAGAGAGCCGAATTGCCCCGTATGCATGCAAGCGTGTTTGTGGGCTTACGGATATCGCAGGGGTGTGCCGTCCTCTTCGGCGCGCATGCCTTCTCTCCGTCCGTCTGTGCAGCTCTTGTGTTCTTGGAGGGGCGGTGGCTGTCGTGGAAGGCTCTTTCACCTCGGGCTGGGGACGCCCCCGTCACTTCTTGGGGCTTTCCAAGAGAAGAGTTTCCTGCCCAAAGTTTTTTCATGGCCCACAGGATTCTTAGGGTCTAGGCTTTGAGCTGATGGGGGATTCACTCGAGTGAGCGGCTCCCTGGCCACAGGATGACCATTGCTGACACAGACAGAGACAGACGAAAAGAGAAATGAATCGCTCTTGCCAGCATAGAGCAACATGGCCACCTGATTCTTCAGACCCTCACCTGCACACACCACACCAGTGTCGACACACACAGCCATGACCGGCTGTCTGCCTGTCTGTCTGTCTGCCTGTGCGCATGTGAGTCATCCCACTGACCATATGCAGGCTTGTCCAGAGAATCTAAAGGGCACACAGCCAGCACATACAACCATACACATACATAAACGCAAGCACATCACACATCGGCTGTCTTCGCTTTCTGCCTTTTCGTGTCGTGACACGTACGTACACTTAGCGAGGAATCGTTTGTCGTGGAGGATGGCGAGTGCGTTGGCAACAAACAGAGCCGCCTCCAGCAGATGCAGCAGCGTGAACGTCATGACGTCGACGAGAGCGAGGCAAGACACACGACCTGCTGCGATAGGCAGATCTCTCCGACTACCCGGCCCCGCGTGTCCGTATCATTTCGTGTGCCGCCTGGTATCTTCTCGGGAGAGAAAAACAAACGGCTAGAAGGGATGGGCAGGACAGCAGCACGACAGCTGCAGGATTCGAACCTGCGCGGGTAACCCCAGTGGATTTCGAGTCCACCGCCTTAACCACTCGGCCAAACTGTCCGAGGTTTTTGGTGCGGACACTCCTTCCATTTGATCATTTTGTCGCCAACCTAGTGCTCCGCCGTCGGTTCAAGATCTTTTTCTCCCTTCGATGCGCGCGCAGGCCTGGAAGCTAAGCCGTATGGAGTGTGCCCTCCTAATATGAGGCTCCAATCACACGGAAGGCCGCGAGCAAGTGGACGAGAGAGCGTGTCTCTTGTTGCGTTATCAGTGGAGGGCATCACTTGACCAGTCAATAATGGCAGATCTGCTGCGTCCCAATGGGCAGATCTTCCTCGGTGTCACAATGTTGTTGATCTGGGTTGATGCCTGAATGAAAATCTGCTTTGATCGTCGCCAGTCATCCCCACTCCATGGCTACTGTACAGCCACACCCGGAAAAATGGACGGAAAAAGCTCGGATCTTGGTCCGAATGCCGAACGAGGTCACAAGGCATGACAGAAAGAGAAACTCAAAGGTGGATGTGAGACAGCATGGCCGAGTGGTTAAGGCGACAGACTAGAAATCTGTTGGGGTCACCCGCGCAGGTTCGAATCCTGCTGCTGTCGCTTGCTTCCGCGTGAGTGACCCGTGTGTCCATACTGCGTCGCTCTGGCTCTTCTCGCTGCCGCTGCGCTGCACAGACCTGCTTGCGTCTTCCTCTGCACACACTGGCAGCCTTATCCGTGCTTGCCTTTCGCTCGGAGACAGGGACGGAGGATCTGCCCGTGGATCGCGGCCTCTCTGAACTCGTCTCTCTCCTCCGTCCTGAGAACCTGAGCCGCGCCTAGTCCAGTGATCACATCGCGGACCATCCCGCAGGGCAGCACGCACCCCCCTGCTGCAGCAACACTCAGATCTCTCGACTGATCTGACACGTGAGGGGATCAAGGCACGCCTGCCCTGCCCTGTCTGCTTAGTCGCTTGCCGATGTCCCACCATCACGCCAAGCGCCGGCCGTGTGAGCGGGAGGTGTGCAGTCCGCACGGCAGCCGATATGCCGTGTCGCCCGTGGCCAAGCGTAAGGCCTCTGACGAGGGGTGGGAGGTGCTCGAGGAGGGGGAGATGATGGTCAAGGCCACGCGACGGCAGACACGAGGGGTCAGCCAACGGCCGTGCGGGGAAGGGACGGAGGGAGGGAGGCGTCGCAGACCCCACTATCTGTGTGTCTGTCTGTCTGTCTGTGTGCAGATGACTTACCCCGAGTCTCATCCACTGTGTGACGTCGCGCACGCCGCTGAGTGGACACAAGAGGAAGACGAAGCGTACGTCTGTCTGTCTGTCTGCAAACAACACACACACTCCTCATACACCGTCTACTATGTGTCTGCGTGTGTGTGTGTTGGTGTCGCGTCAGGTTGAGGGAGTCGGTGCGTGTCAACGGCGGCAAGTCGTGGAAGCGCATCGCCACCTTCCTGCCGGGCCGCTCGGACGTCCAGTGCCTCAACAGGTGGCACACAGTCCTCAAACCCACTCTCGTCAGAGGTCAGCCACCCACCCACACAACACAGTCCGCACACATCACCACACCCATGCCGTCCGTCTCGTTATACGTACGTGCTGCACAGGCACCTGGACTCAGGAGGAGGACGACGTGCTGCGTGAGTTGGTTGCTGTGCACGGGGCGGCCAAGTGGAGTTCGATCGCCAAGATGCTCAACGAGCGGCTGGGGACCTACCGGCTCGGCAAGCAGTGCCGCGAGAGGTGGACCAACCACCTCGACCCTACCATCACGGTACGTTTGAATGTAATGACACATCCATGTGCTCGTGAGTGAGGGTGTGCAGGGGTGCTCATGTGGCTGGCTATGTACGTTGGATCGATGTGTGTGTGCAGCGCACTGAGTGGACGGAGGAGGAGGACGCTCTGCTGCTGGCTGAGCAAGAGTCCATCGGCAACAAATGGTGCGCACGCACACAGACACACTCACCCCCCTCTATGACATCTATCTGTGTGTCTGTCTGTGTGTGTCTGCCTTGTGTGTTAAGGTCTGACATCAGCAAGAAGCTGCCGGGCCGGACGGAGAACGCCGTCAAGAACCGGTGGAACTCGCTCAAGCGCAAGATATGGCAGGAGGAGTTCCTCAGCCAGCAGCACCAGGAGATGGAGGCCCTCATGATCCAGCACCACTTCCACACGCTCTCACAACCCTACGGCACACCACAGTTGCACCCGCAGCAGCACCCCCAGCACCTCAATGGTGCCACACCACACACCACCGGGCCCCCAACCCTCCCCCCCCTCGGCTGCGACTCCCCCTTCTCTGCGCAAGGCACCCCCTCACACACCACCATGATGACCATGGACACGCCATTCCGCGCCGCACTGCGGCAGCTCGAGAGACAGGGGAGTGGCAGTGGCAGTGGATTGAGCGCTCTGCAGCCCCCCTCCTACACCTCTCAGGGCTCGTTCGTTTCGCTGCTGTCGGCTGCCGAGTCGGCGGCCGGGAGTGTGGGAGGTGGTGGTGTGGTGCTGGCCGTGCACCCTTCATCAAGCGGTCACCAGACGCCCCAGGAGGGCGACGCCTACCCGCTGGGCCCGCCGGGGGTCAATGACGAGCCGAAGAGTGGGGAGGATCGACAGCAGGAGGAGGACGAGCTCGACATGGATGTCGACCGGTTCTTCGCCACACGCGCCCCGCCCGCGCCCGTCTGTGAGGAGGCCGGCACCGACACGGACGCGATGCGCAAGAGGTGTGTGGCGCCCCCGCCGGCCCTCTCGTCGTCCCTGCGGTCGCACTCCCTGACGCTGCCCATCCCATCGAGGTCGCCCCAGCCCACGTCACTCACGCCCTCATCCTCAGGGGCACTGGCCGAGTGGAAGCTGCCTTTGCCCGACACGATCGAGCAGGACCTCTCAGGTCGCATGACTCGGCTGGATCTGGGGGGCGGCGGTATGAGCAGCAGGGTGCGCGCGGCGTCGTGGAAGGGGCGCTGTGTCAGCGAATGCGACGCGGTGGCCAAGGAGCTCTTTCGGCACATCGACGGCAGCGACGAATGGGAAGGGGGAGATATCGACGAGGGTATGTGTGCATGTGATGTGATGAGATGCAGGAGGGAGTGTGTGAAGAGAAGGCTCATTTCATTTGCCGCATGTGTGTTGGTCGGTCTGTGCAGGCGCGTGTGAGCCGAGGCCGTTGCTGCCCATGACGCTGCCGCCCATGGCGCCTCCCCTCTCACCCCACCTGAAGCACCTGCCCTACCCCACCCCCACGGCCACGGCGAGTGTGAGCACTGCATCGACCACTAACACCCCACCAAGCGCACACGCCGTCCAGATCGGCACACCCGTGTGTGAGGAGAACAATGAGAACAACGACCCGCCCCCCTCCCCCACTCCCACGCCGGCCCCCAGCCTCACACCATCGCCAACGCCGCAGCTGCCGCCGTCGGCCGCCTCACTGGCGCAGAAGCTGGCCTCGCTGCTGGGGACCCTGAGCAACATGGCTGACAACGATCGCAACCGCAGACTTGCGGAGGGCGCTTGCAAGAAGCTGGAGAGCGCCGCTTAGTTAGATTGATTGACCAGGTGGATGTGATGTGTGAGATGCGGCCTTAGTGTTGGTCAGTCGCTGACCGACGGATGGATGGATGGATTGCTCGACCAATAGTTAGTGGATTGTTTGATCAATGCTGAGGCCGTGTCTGTCGTGTCGATGCGATGCGTAGGTAGGGAGCGGAGGGAGGGAGGCTGTGTGCGAGTGTTAGTCTCATGGCATGCCTGGCTTGTGTGTCCCATCCGTGCCTGCTACCTATCTATGATATGCTGTTGTTCGTTTTTCGATCGATCTGCCTACTCGGCTAGGCTGCCTGCTTGACTTACTCGTGGTGCTGTGTGGTGTGGATTGCAGCAAGGGAGGGAGGGAGTCAGGCGCTTGTGCCGGCAGAGAGAGTTTCCGGCGAGAAACGGCCAACGGTGCGCTCTCTACGCCAGTGACAGCGTTTGGCTGTCTTGCCGCTTCATCCTACATGACGTGCTGCACATGCATGAATGGATGGATGGATGGATGGGGGGGCTGGTGGGGGGGTTGACGGTGGTCGTTTATCGGCTAATTCGTACTCCGTGGTCGGCTTGATGACTGCTTTTATCGCACGTAGACAGGCAGGCGTGTCGCTACGTGCTGCCGTGTGCTGCTGTGTTTGCCACGCCATACACACATACTCGAGTGGCACCAACATGATTGCAGCCACATACACACACACACACACACTACATCTCGATGATCGCATCTTAAGGGGCCGGCTTCTGTGCTGACTGATGTTTTGTGTGCTGGTGCCGGGCAGGCGAACGACAGACTGCCACACAGAGGATGGCGGGAAAGATGGGCGGATCAAGACTCATCGACTCATGGAGAGCAGGTGAAGCTCTGTGCGTGTGCGTGTGTGTGCGCGTGTGCGTGTGTGCACCTATGGGCTCATACACTCACGCACGCCGACACACACACTCGAGGCACCGCACTTGTGTGTATGTCTTTATGTATGTAACCTACCCCCCCTTCTTATACCTAGCTAGCTAGCTTATACGTAGCGACCATCAGTCACCATCACTATGATGCCTAATTAACATAAGGTACCTCTTACGTACTTACCAACGGAATGCAATGACTGACTGCAATGAATCAATGCCCTCCCTCTTTCTTCGACTGACTCGGCGCGCGCGCGCTATTTTTCTCTTCCTTCTCTCTCTCTCTCTCTCTCTCTCCTTCTCTCTCTCTCTGGGTCATGCTCTTTTCTCTCTCGTCTCTTGATGGAATGAGACTGATTTGACGACGTGCTGGCGACAGTCAGCCTGCTTGATTGACAGACGTGCAGAGAGGTACGTGTGTGTCTGATGGCCTCCTGGCAAGGTGGAGAGGGAGGGTGTGCGAGTGGGCGGGTCGGGTTTTCTTTTGCCGTTTTGGGTTGACCTACTTTTTGCCCAATCGTTCTCTCGTCACCTCTCCCCGCCCCCCTCTCTCTGCTGCTGCTGCTGCTGCTGGCTGGATGATGATGATGGACTACAGACAGGTTGTGGATATCCTCTACCTATCTATCTTATGCATGTTTTCTATGCCTGGGTATACAGTGACTTATTGGTCTCGATCCATATATACATCTGTCTGCCTGGGTTCCTCGATCGGTCCGCGGCTGTCGTTTTGTATGCCTTCTCTCTGGCTGCGAGATCGTACCCCCC